GGGATTCACGGGGGCGGGTGGGGGGGGAAGAATTACCATTGTCACATGTGAGAGTATATGAGGCAGAGGGTCCACAAATTTCTCCAGGAGACTGAGATACCAACCCCATGTAATGTAGCCCAGCCAGGAGAAAAAAATGTTTTTCAAAGAATGGCAGAAGGGGTCTTACCAATACATTCCCCAAATTTAAGCTGCAGTGTTCACCAGGAGTCCTGATTCACACACTAGGTTACTGCAGTGATATATTATTATTGACTTCCTATCCTTTAAAGGCTTATACATACTATATTGCATATACTGTACACAATAAATCGTATAAGAAGTATTACCTCATCTGCTCAAGCTGTCAAATGAAAGATGATATGCTAAGAAAAAGTCCAAATGAAGCTATTATAACCCCAAGCACTAATGAGATTTTACAAATACCAAATAGTTACATTATATACTATAACAACCAAATCTGAATCAACTACGCCTTGGAGAGAATCACATCTTTATTTTTATTTTTTTTAAGATTTTATTTATTTATATGACAGAGAGAGACACAGCGAGAGAGAGAACACAAGCAGGGGGAGTGGGAGAGGGAGAAGCAGGGTTCCTGCGGAGCAGGGAGCCCGATCTGGGGCTCGATTCCAGGACCCTGGGATCATGACCTGAGCCGAAGGCAGACGCTTAACGACTTGAGCCACCCAGGCGCCCCGAGAATCACATTTTTAAAAAATTCATTTCAGTAGAGGAAAGAGATGACTTTGGAGAAAGAGAAAGTGGGTTTGGAAGAGACACAGTATAGTGGGGCTTCTTTGATTAGAGGTTAGGGACTTGCTGGAAAGGAGACTGTGTTCACAGGGAAAGCAGGAGTAAGCGATCTACTCTGGTGCTTGCAGAGTACTCCCCTGTTACCCAGAGTATTCGAGTGACCTGTTATGTGAAACACAGAAGCAGCCAGCACTTCATTTGAGGTGAAGGATGCCATCCTATACTTCTCCCTAGGTAGCAAGATGGCATCTCTTTCCAGGCATGATGAATCAATAGCAGACATAACCTCTCCAGAGAACAGCTTTGATATTTGAAAAGGAAGCAGGTTCTAAAGTAGTAGAACCTAAAGAATGAAATGCATACCTATTCCTAAATAGAGGTACGCAAGAAGGAAGCCTGGCTTTCAAAATAATGTGTTTCCCACGATAGCAAATATATTCTATAGAGCAGTGAATCATTATGCCAAAATGATTGTATGAGATTCATTTTTAATTTCTTCTTACAACATTCGAAGGAATTCAAACTCTGAAAGGATAGCTCAAAAATATAAAACACTTTGCAGATCATATATTTAAAAACACAAAATGCTTCTAAATAATAAAGGTAAATATAAAAAATATTTTCTAATATATCAGGAAATAAGAAACTATCTAGAAGTTTCATTTATTACCCAAAATTAAAGATTTTTTCATATCTTTCTGGTTAGAAAACAAATTCAGGAAGTCAAACTGAACCTTTCATCTTTGAAAATTTACAGTGAATAAAATCATCACTTGGTTTTAACAATTAACTTAAAATTGAGATTAATGGTTCTATTAAACCATGAATATATTTTGTGTATATATATATACACACACACATGTTGTACATATACACATATCAGGTTTTTATAACTATACAATATTTTCGTTATTTTTTTTCTACTATCAGGAAGTTTTATTAACCTGGAAACTATTCTTGAAACAAATGAATAATTCCATCTATTGGTTCTCTCACAGTATTAGAAACTTTTTCCTCATTTAAATATCTTTCAGTGTACCATCAGTGTACTACCACGGTGGTGATTTAGAATATTCTTTTTTTTTTTTAAAGATTTTATTTATCTATTTGATAGAGAGAGAGCACAAGCAGGGGGAGGGGCAGAGGGAGAAGCAGACTCCCCACTGATCAAAGAGCCCAACACAGGGCTCTATCCCAGGACCCTGAGATCATGACCCGAGCCAAAGGGCAGACGCTTAACTGACTGAGCCACCCAAGCGCCCCTGGAATAGATATTCTTATACAGAACTCTTGCTATCAAGATTAACAAGACCAAAAGTATTCCTTTATTTAAAGCCAGAAGTATAAAAATTAAACTTATATTTAAAACAAAAGACAAAAAAAAATTAACTCAAAAATAACTCAGGAATCTATTTTTTGTATTGATGAATTGCTGAATAGAGTAAATATATGAGAAATAGGGACGCCTGGGTGGCTCAGTCGGTTGGGCGGCTGCCTTCAGCTCAGGTCATGATCCCAGTGCCCTGGGATTGAGTCCCGCATCGGGCTCCTTGCTCAGCAGGGAGCCTGTTTCTCCCTCCGCCTGCAGCTCCCCCTGCTTGTACTCTCACTCACTCTCTCTCGCCCACGCTCTCCCTCTCTAACAAATAAATAAATAAATAAATAAAATCTTTAAAAAATAATAAATAAATATATGAGAAATAAATCAAATGGAAATTTTTAAGCACACATCTTCATATGTTTACATGATGAAGCTTTACCGTTATTTTTCAGGTTATTTATTCCAATTATATCGGACTGTGAGACAGAATTATGATTGTAGCGCCCTCTGCTGGGGTTTCTACTCACAAACTCAACCTAATACCACTATTAGTGTAAAATAAAACATTTGAGGCGTCAAGCAATAAATCACTTTTTCTGTCACTGATCACTTTAAGCCTTGGCAAAGATTATATAAAAGTTATAATCAATATTTATGCTACTGTAACAGGATTTTACCAATTTATCAGTAAGTAAAATATCAGTATAGATTTTTTCTTTTAAAATAAGAGGATAATATAAAAGTTACACTAAACAATATGTTTTAATAAGTCTTATTTTTTTTAAAGATTTATTTATTTATTTATTTATTTGAGAGAGAGAGAGAATGAGAGACAGAGAGCATGAGAGGGAGGAGGGTCAGAAGGAGAAGCAGACTCCCTGCCGAGCAGGGAGCCCGATGCGGGACTCGATCCCGAGACTCCAGGATCATGACCTGAGCCGAAGTCAGTCGCTTAACCAACTGAGCCACCCAGGCGCCCTAATAAGTCTTATTTTTGTCACTACTTCTATCATTTGGCAATATGTTCAGGTTCTTAATGCAACATTTGTGACAAGACATTTTAATAAATTACTATTTTGGTAATCTTATGTATTTTTTCCTGCTCTGTTAGTTCAATCAAAATAGCTTATTTTAAAACATGAGAACAACCTTAATAATATTATCTTCGTTATTAGAAAAAGATGGAAAGACATTTTAGAGGCACTCATCACCAGTAATAATTAATAAATAGCTTCCATTTACTGAGTGTCAACTAAAAGGAATGTAGTAAATGTTATACACTTTCTATATATTCTATCCAGTTCTAAGAAATAATATAAATTGATATAAACTGACATAATATAAATTGCTCCAGATGAATTTCAGAGCCAAGATTCAAATGTAGATGAGCCTCATTCCAAAGACTCAAACCTTCCCACCAAACAATACATCAGTGAAAAAATACCTTTTGCATGCAATTTCTCTATTTATCAATGCAACAACTGGGGGTGGATGAAGGTACGGTGGAACAAGTTGATGAGAAAAATGTCAGAGAAGGACAAGATAGTTATTCATGTATAAAATAATAGCATAGACCTTTAGGAATGTATTTTTGTTTTACATAATGCTGCCAGCTAGTGGCCCTATTTCATACTGAGCCACTGGAAACAATGCTTGATTTTTACATCACTGAATCAAAAATTCCACATTTAACATTCTAGGATCGTCTTCCTAAACTATACATGCATAACCTGACTTAATGTTATTTCACCTTACCCCAGAACTAAAGGAGAATGTCTCCTCAACCACCACTAGCCCTAATCCCCAATAAAATGAGATATGCCTAAATGGGAAAGAATTCAGCAAGTGCCAACACGTAGAAACTAAAAGGTACACTTGTCACTATCTATGAAAAAGAAACCCATATTATTTAAATATTTTTGGGTAATTTGGGGATACTTATAGATTCCTTAGTGACAAAATCTATAATTATTTTTATATATTATCAAAAGCTTGCCATATATGGACATAAAAACAAAATTATTGCCTAAGTATCGCTGAACATTATTCTATGCAGATCTAAAATTAGAGGGCATCTGATAAAGTAGTACTGTTAGCAAAGTATGTTATTTTAGTTCAGAGAATACAGTTATGAAATTTCCTTTGGGAAAAAAAGTATTGAGTACCATTTTTACATTTAAAAAGGTCATATTAAAAAATAAAATAAAAATAAAAAGGCCATATTAAACTGATAATTCACTATGTTAAGAAAAATATCTTAAGTAACACACATGAAGAAATACACAGCTCTGATCATCGTATATTGCTTAACACAGTGATATAAAGATATTCTTGGCTGATTTCTTTCATCATATGGCATGACAATTATTTAAATGATTCTCTCAATGGAGAAATCTATCACGACAATCAGAAGCTTAGATGAAAAGACAATGTGTTCTATAGTATAATGCTGCATAAAACAAAAAACCTTCCGGCATTGTATTAACAGCAAGGAAAACAAACGTTCTGGTTTTATTCCATAGTGAAAAAAGAGAAGAAGCAGGAAGTGGAAAAGAAAGTACCTAAAACACAGCAAAGAAAAAAGAGACAGCCGATCTGTTGGATTAACTGAGAAGGTCAAAATGGAAACAAGAAACAAAAGGGATAGTACTGGAGAGTCCAGTGTTCCTTCTGACCTACATTCTGTCACACACACACACACTCACACACATAACTGCAAAGTGTAAAAATAGCCTTATCCCACTTTGTAGGTCCATCTTATATGAAGCTTATCTCACAGCTAAAAACAGTAAGAGTTTATATTACACACACACACACCTATGCACACACATCATTATAATAAATATCAGTGAGAAAAACACTAATTATAAATCCACTTTTTAAAACACTAAAAATAGTTCCACAAAGGGAACATATAACTTACAAACATTGCCTGTATTGTCAAAGCTGGTAAGAACATCTTCAACATTCAAAGATCCATTATTACGCCTAGAAAGAAAGAAAGCATTTTCTTTAATGATTCTGAAATATTACGATTTATTAAATTTTTTAAAAGCTGAGGCTGTGTATTGTGATATACCCACCCAATACAAATAAACCCTTCCTTGTTACATTTTCAAAATATTTTCTGCCCACTAGAGGGAGAAGGAAAAGAAATAACAGAATACATTTCTCAGAATATTTAATGTAATGACATTTTTGATGATTAATGTACATTTTAAAGTATTAGTAAATAATATTTATTGTTGTTTTAGCTATATAAAGGTGAGGTAGATTATTAAAGACAACAAAACAAAACCTTACTTTTGAGAATCTCAAAAGAAAAATAAGTCATCAACCTCCAGAACCACACCCAACAATAAATAGATTTCCTCTATACCAGCCCAACAAATTCAGAACTTCAGTCAAAAAGAACTAACAAGGGCGCCTGCGTGGCTCAGTTGGTTAAGTGACTGCCTTCGGCTCAGGTCATGATCCTGGAGTCCCTGGATTGAGTCCCGCATCGGGCTCCCTGCTCGGCAGGGAGTCTGCTTCTCCCTCTGACCCTCCCCGCTCTCATGTGCTCTCTCTGTCTCATTCTCTCTCTCTCAAATAAATAAATAAAATCTCTAAAAAAAAAAAAAAAAAAAGAACTAACCCATCTTCAAGTCTGCACAATCCACAATTAGAAGGTTCTAAATGTCGGGGGGGGGCAAATTGTTTTTTATCTTTTTCCCACTAACCTTAATTCCACTCCTTTTAATTCTAATCTCTATTCACTTGACAGCCCGCCCCTGAAATACCTAATTTGATTACTGATATTTTATTAATACTTACAAAAGATGTTATTCTTCATATACAAATGGGCCCAAATGTTAATAGGTCATAGGGTTTGAGATACTTTTCCAGTGGTGATTAAAAAAAAAAAAAATCTGTTGGGGCACCTGGATCTCAGTCGGTTAAGCATCCAACTCTTGATTCCAGCTCAGGTCATGATCTCAGGATCGTGAAATCGAGCCCCAAGTCAGGCTCTGTGCTGAGTGTGGAGCCTGCTTAAGATTCTCTCCCTCAATTATGCTAAGTGAAGTAAGTCAATGAGAGAAAGACAATTATCATATGATTTCTTTCATATGTGGAATTTAAGAAACAAAACAGAGGATCATACGGGAAGGGAGGGAAAAATAAAATAAGATGAAATCAGAGAGGGAGACAAACCATAAGAGACTCTTAACTATAGGAAACAAATTGAGGGCTGCTGGAGGGGTGGTGGGTAGGGGTATGGGGTAACTGGGTGATGGGTATTAAGGAGGCACGTGATGTGATGAGCACTGGGTGTTACATGCAAATGATGAGTCACTGACCTCTGGAACTAATAATACACTATATATGTTAATTAAAAAAAAAAAATCCTCTCCTTCTCCCTATGCTCTTCCCCTCACCCCCCACTCACACTAACAACAGAAATTGTTGTAAGTTATTTTTCACAAGCACTTTAAGCTATCCTAGAACTGAGGACTTTTGAGCTTTTCCCAAGAATGGCCTATGGAGTAAGGAGGACTAAGGAGCAAGTCACTGGGGCAGATAATTATGTGAAGAGGGGGAGAAAAGCTACTAGAGGAAAAGTCTAAAGTCTAAAGATAGCAAGAGTTTGGAACTAGAGGTTAAAAATAAGCCAGGGCTAAATATGATATAAAAAGCACAAAAAAAAAAAAAAAAGAAAGAAAAAGAAAAACTAGATAAGCTGAATGTCATGAAAATTAAAAACTTTTGTCCATCAAAGGACACTATCATTGAAGTGAAAAGACAACCCACAGAATAGGAGAAAATACATGCAAATCACTAGGTCTAGTATCCAGAATATATAAAGAGCTTTCATGATTCAACAACAAAAAGATGACCCAATTAAAATGTGCAAAAAATTGGACATCATTAATCAGGGAACTGCAAATCAAAACCAGTGAGATATCACTTCATCCCCCAAGGATGGCTAAAATAAAAATAATAAAGGAAAAATAACAAGTGCTGGCAAACATGGAGAAAAACTGGAACCCTGATATACTCCTGGTAGGAATGCAAAATGGTGCAACCATTGTGGAAAACAATTTGGCCATTCTTCAAAATGTTAAACAAAGATTTACCACACGACCCAGCAATTTCACCCTTAGGTACATACCTAAGAGAATTAAAAACTTACACAGTCACACAAAAACTTACATATGAATGTTCATAGTAGCATTATTCATAATAGCCAAGAAGTGGAAACAACTCAAATGTCCATCAACTGATAAATGGATAAACAAAATGTGGTATTATCCATATGACACAATATTATTCAGCCATAAAAAAGGAATGAAATAATGATACATGCTATAACCCAGATGAATCAAAAACATTACTCTGAGTGAAAGAAGCCAGACATAAAAGTCCACATATTGTATGATTGTATTTATATGGAATGTCCAAAATAGGCAAATCCATATAGACAGAAAGTAGATTAGTGGTTGCCAGGGTTTGGGGGGGAGGAGGAAGATGGAGAATCACTACGAATGGGTATGGGGTTTCTTTATGGGGTGAAAAAAATCTCTAGAATTAGACTGCACAACATTATGAATATATACTGAAAACCATTGAATTTCAGTTTAAAACAGTTAATTAGAATGGTGAATTTAATGTTATAAGAATTTTATCTTGATTAAAAAGAAAAGTGGTCCCCCCCCCCAAAAAAAAGAAAGAAAGGAAAAGCCAGAGAGTAAAATGGGCCCTAAAAGGCTTTAGAAGAAGAAGAGAGGTTTTCAGAAGGAAAAGGTTTGATTCTAGATGCAACATGCTTTGGAGGTCTTTCAAAAATAAATGGCTAAAGAGTGAAGTAAATCAGACAGAGAAAGACAAATACCATATGATTTCACATACAAGTGAAAGCACATGAAAGGATGGACATCATTAGTCACCAGGGGACTGCAAATCAAAACTGAATAAACAAAACAAAAACAAACTCATAGATGCAGGAACAAACTGTTGTTTATGGTGGGGAGGAGGGTGAACGAGGTGAAGGGCACTAAGAGGTACAACACTTCCCGTTATTGGGGCGCCTGAGTGGCTCAGTCGGTTGAGCATCTGACTCTTGATTTAGGTTCAGGTCATGATCTCAGAGTCGTGAGATCACGCCCTGCATCAGGCTTTGAGCTCAGCATGGAGTCGGCTTCAGATTCTCTCGCTCTCCCTCTGCCCCTCCCCCAACTCACACACTCTGCTCTCTCTCAAAAATAAATAAATAAATAAAATCTTTAAGAAAAAAACAAACTGGGGCACCTGGGTGGCTCAGTTAAGCGTCTGCCTTCGGCTCAGGTCATGACCCCAGGGTCCTGGGATCGAGCCCCACATGGGGCTCCCTGCTCCACAGGAAGCCTGCTTCTCCCTCTCCCACTCCCCCTGCTTGTGTTCCCTCTCTCACTGTATCTCTCTCTGTCAAATAAATAAATAAAATCTTTAAAAAAAAAAAAAACTTTCAGTTATAAAACATAAATAAGTCATGGGGATGTAATGTACTGCATAGGGAATATAGTTAATAATATAATAACTTTGGATGGTGAGAGACGGTAACTAGACTTATCATGGGGATCATTTCATAATGTATAAAAATGTTGAATCATTATGATGTACATCTGAAGCTAATAGGATAGAGTAAGACAGTTACATGCATACATATATATGTAAGCAAGCTACATAACCAATCGTGACTGGAGTTTAAAACAAGCTAAAAAACTAAGTTCTATTAGCCCATATCCATGATTTAAGTTCTATGAAAACATGACTCAATGGATTAGTCTTTTAATTTTCTGCATACACTAGATCATATTTGAAAGGTTCTATAAAGTTCCTTCTCAAATATAAAATAAAATACAAGAGAACAAAAGCTGTTTTAATACTCACCTCTGCTGTTAATATCACTACTAACATTAAAACTATACTTTTTTTTTAAAGTAGGCTCCATGTGGAGCTTGAGTCATGAGATTTACCTGAGATCAAGACCCTGATCTGAGATCAAGAGTCAGACGCTTAACCGACTGAGCCACCCAGAAACCCCTAAAACTATACTTTTTAAATATGAATTCAGTATTCATATTTGTCTCAGATGCCAGCCTTGCCAAACTTTAAATGGGTACCTATGATATACCACATATGTAATGATAATCTGCCATACATCTAATTTCATAAGCATACCAGTCCCATCACTAGTTATTTCATGAGCACTCAGAGTACATCCTAAATTCAGTGGGATGGAGCTTTTATGTTTTCCTTCCCCTAGAGAAGCAATATGTGACCTGACTGTAGTGCATCTGTTGTACTAGAAAGATGCACCACAGTCAAAGACAAAGTCATTCTTGATGTCTTGCCCATTCTAAGCTCCCAGGACAAGCCAAAAGTTAAAAGCTCTAGGCTTCTAATCCAGCAATTACCATGGCAACAGTAGCCTTATTGAAAGAAAGGAGGAGAGTTCAGGCCTCTCAGCTTTTTCTATACCTGTGACATACACACATTTATCAATGAATAACTTGGGACTTCTATAGTTCCAAATATAATGCAAGTATTTAAAGCTTCCAGAATATGCAAAGTCTTACTGCACTGAAATTGAGTTGAAATCTGGAGAGTGGGAAACAATTTCTAGCACTGATACAGTAAACACTATTTATAACAAAATACTATAACAAATTGCAGATTATACAACAGCAGGATGGGGGCGAGCTTTAAACCTCTCCTGGATGGAGGCGCCTGGGTGGCTCAGTCGTTAAGCGTCTGCCTTCGGCTCAGGTCATGATCCCGGGGTCCTGGGATGGAGCCCCGCATTGGGCTCCCTGCTCAGCCAGCTTCTCCCTCTCCCGCTCCCCCTGCTTGTGTTCCCTCTCTAGGTGTCTCTCTCTCTGTCAAATAAATAAATAAAACCTTTATAAAAAAAAAAAATCTCCTGGATGTTCTCTCTATACAAACATCTATCTAATTATAAGAACCTCTTCTATAAGGTTCTAAGAAATAAAAATAAAGTACCAGAAAGACAGAAAGACTTTGCCAAGGAATAAAGTAGGAGTCACACCCTGGATTTTAATTTCCTAACTTTCAGTACTTCACTTAGGAACAGAGAGTCAACTATCCTCAGATACACAGAAGACAACACATCTTGGGGATTTTGTCTAACTAACTTTTACCTTGTCCAAACTTTTGCCTCTGATGAAAAGTCACTAAGGGAAATTCTCTGTTCCTTCATTTTGTTTTTCTACTCTCACTTGCCTACTTCTCCCTGCTATTCCTTCATTTTAAATATCATCATACAAAGCTGACAAAAAATAATGGTCCAAGTTTTAATTTAGGCCACTGCTTATATACCTTTCAATAATACAAACAAAATACAACTATGTACTTTGAATTCACAAATATCTAGTTATTACCCTCTTAGGATACTCATTTCAAGCCTAATAAAACTTTAAAGAGACAGAAATTAATACACAGGGAAATTTTAAGGATAAAACAAATATTGATAAGAAGTATTAATCACTACATACATCATCTCTGTTGAACTGGAGCAGGTGACGTCAGATGATAAGAACTGAGAAAGTGAAAATGGGGTATTTTTACTCTCCGAGGATCAAAACCTCTCAAATGCTCAGCCCTTTACGAGAATCCAGAAGCAGAGCCATCATATAACATGTATTGACCACGGTTCCCCTAGAGATTGTGATGGTTCTTAAGAGCCACTAATGATTCTGCCTTGCACTTTCTCCCCCTGGCTATTTTCTAGTGCCTTTGCCCTCATCTGAAATGACTTCTCCCTTTCCCTCAGAAGTTCCAACTACTTCCAGATCCAGTTTAAACCCCTCAAGGCCTTCCGAAAATCACTCTCACCTCTAAACGCCTAATTTGTATGACGTCTTCCACGCCTTTGGAAATTAGTTATGCATGCCTAATGAGAGTTCTTTCCTTCTTATTTAATATTTTTATTACTTAACTTTTCACATATTTAAAACCCTTGAGGATAATATATCTTACATTTCTTTTTGTTCACCTGTATAGAAGGTACCATTAAATATTTGTTGATTTAAATTTATTTAAAACTATTCACCACTTTTTTTTTCAATCATTCCATAGTGTTGATTTAACAAACTTCAAAAAATGTAGATGAAAATAATGGTACTCCATTCCAAAACTACCTTCTAAACCACTACCTTTAGCTACTGCAAGTAATTTTTTTAAACTAGAATGCTCACAATTCAAACAATACTGAAGAAGATAAAGGTAGCTAAAGAAATGTCATGGAAGCGGGTTGAGAAAAGATATGAGATATTAAATGAACAAGAATGGAGATCCATGTTGGGCAGATAACAGAAAACAAGAGGAAGTGGTAAAAGAAATCAACGTGAACAAAATTGGCAATGGAATGGAATGAACTATTCTTGGCTGATATCCTCCCCTACCTAAGCAATTGCAGTAATTTCAGTGATTTCCTATACAGTAACAGAATTATGGAGTAAGAAATAGAATGCTCAGAATAATCAATGAGGAAATTAGTTTATCTGGGCCTCAATCCCTTCATCTGTAAAATGAATAAGTGGATACATGATTGCCTCAGGAGAGACAGCATGTGCAGAAGTTGAAAGTGCAGACAGTGACTGTCATTATATAAAATGTTACCAATGGAGATAGCTAGGTGAAGGGTATGTGAACTCCTTGTGCTATTTCTGCAACTTCCTGAACTTCTGTAATTATTTCAACATAAAAGTTTTTAAAAGTACAGGCTGTGGAACCAGACCACTAGGGTTTGAATAGAGGTACAATCATTGGCCGGGTGACCTCGATCAAGTCATTTAACCTCTCTGGGTTTCACTTTGCTCATCTGTGAAATGAGGATAATAACAGTATTTACCTCATAAACAGTTGTGTGGGTTAAATAAACTAATACATGTAAACCACTCACAACAGTGCTTGTCATATAGTAGTCACTCAGTGGTCAGCCTTTATTAATGTGGTTATGATCTTTTCAAAATTATTCTAAGATAGTGTTTAGCTCTAGAATACATGTAAGCTATTATTATTTTTGCACTACTAATGTGGAGAGAAACAAACTAGTTTGAAAAAAGAGAATAAATCTTGGGGCGCCTGGGTGGCTCAGTTGGTTAAGTGACTGCCTTCGGCTCGGGTCATGATCCCAGAGTCCTGGGATAGAGCCCCGCATCAGGCTCCCTGCTCCTCGGGTAGCCTGTTTCTCCCTCTCCCTCTTCTTGCCGCTCCCCCTGCTCGTGCTCTCTCTCTCTGTCTCTCTCTCTGTCAAATAAATAAATAAAATCTTAAAAAAAAAGAGAGAGAATAAATCTTGGTAGCCATTGTGGCCATTGTTTTAGCTTGGTCACCTGTCTTCTCTCCATAAATGAGGATTTAATGCCATATTTATACAAAGAGACTTGCATTTATTTTTTTTTGAAAAATGGATATATCACAAAGAACCATGCCATTGGAAAGGTGTCTCAGTTTACATTGGAGCCTGGGTTCCTGCTACATCAGTGTCATCTGCCAAAGAACCACGTCCTGGTTTGAAAACTCTAAAGAACAGAAGATGTCACATTCTCTCTAGCTAACCCTTACCAGGACCTCAAAGACGTCAGGAAATTATTCTTGGCACGTTTTACACTTACTGCATCTTGTCACCAGTGGATGTAGAGGGTAAGTTTTAGAACTTTACACCTGAAGACTGCTATTGGATCACTCGGTTCTTCCTTCTCTTTAATCTTCTTATAGATACTATCTTCCATTTCTACTTTACAGAGTTACTGTAAAGATTACATGAATTAGCATACATCAAGACACCTCGCTCTGTAGGGGGCACATAGTAAGCATGTAATGCATTTTTCCTCCTTCTCTAAGGAATAACGAAACTATCTCCATCAGAATGTGAGGCAGTTGAGGTATTCGAATCAGAATCTCATAATGAATATACAGGCAAGCTCACAAATCCCTAGGTTTTTATCTTCTTTTTGGAGTTTTCAATAGTTATGAAACCAGATCCTAATTGTTCTTCTCTGCTCACCCTCGTCAATTTTTATCCAGATCCCAAACTTTAAGCTATTATGATGTCTTTTAAAGCTTAGATACTTTAAACCGAAATAGTTCAAGAAACATATACTATAAATAGACATCCTTTGTGAAAACTTCTTTTTCTTAAAATTATTCTTCGCCTCACCTAAACCTTATTCAGTCACATTCCACTTAAAATGTTTTTTGCACTTCTTACAATTACTGTAAATGTGCTCCTCCCTCCCTTTCAAATTGTGAAATCTTGTCAAAAAAGGAAGATTTTATAAAATCAAACACCTACAGTAATATTGCAATATGCTAGACTATAACTGTGAGAGAAAATTAATTCAGTAAAAATGGTATCCTGTTACTTCAGTTTGCAACTCTCCTGTCTGTTTTTAAATGATTTTTAAAGCCAGAACAGTCTGTATGCTTCTCACAATATCAGTGTTTTCAGCTGAATTTTCTCCTCCTATTCTTATGATTCTATTCTGAAAATGACAAAACATGAATGGGAAAAATACCAAAGCTTGATTTTTCAGATAACTACTACTTGAAGAGTAGTCTGGAAAATTCTGTGTTCACTTTCAGCCTTCCTTGCCTCCTCAAAAAGAAATGGGTTTTTTGTCAAATGCTATGAGAGAATGGTTTAAAGAACCTTTTGATTTGCAAGCCACTTTGTCCTCAAATGCTGCTACATTCCTGAGAATTTTTTTTCTTTAGTTCTGAGACTACAACAAAACCCAGTTAAAGCAGCAGGATTTCCTAACACAAAGCTGCAAAACCCAAGTTCTGATCAAGATTACCTGCAAACTCAATAGAATGAATAATGAGATTCTTATTAAACTGCTTTTTTTCTACAAGAGAAAAATACTTCAAAAAAAAATTGTCACTGGAGTGATGGTTTACCTTAAAGAAACACTGTACTCAGGATAGAAGACACTTGTATATCGGACCCATGCACCAACTTCCTCTTCATTTACCCTTTTTTTGGCTTCTGTTACTGAAAACAGATTAAATGATTCAAATCTTCTTACAGATACATGTCGCAGGCAATCATCCAGGTGCTTCTGCTTCAGAACCTTTGAAATAAAAACAAATATTGTGTTCGTATTATATAAACACATGTCAGATGTTCAAAGTTTAAGCGGTAAGGGGACTTTCATTCCCAGTAATAGCAGATTAGATAATGTAGACCAACCTCTTACTGCAGACGACTAGAGAAGATGGACAGAACATATTTTTTTTTAAGATTTTTTTATTATTTATTTATTTATTTGAGAGAGTGGGAGAGAGAGGGACAGAGTGGGAGGGAGAGAGAGAAAGAAAGTGAGCAGGGGGAGGAGCAGAGGGAGAGGGACAAGCAGACTCTATGCTGAGTGTGGAGCCCAACGTGGGGCTCAATCCCAGGACCTGAGACTATGACCTGAGCCGAAACCAAGAGTCAGATGCTAAACCAACTGAGCCACCCAGGCGTCCCTGGACAGAATATCTTAAAACATTATTTAAAGGTAGCAGAGAACAAAGAACAAAGCAGAGAACTAGTAAAGATTTACCAGTCTAATAACTTAAAAAGGAAATAAATCTAGAGAGGTGAGCCTGGCTTTTGCAATCACTTTCCTTGTGGGGACATTGATCCAATTCCAACAGAAAGAGCTAAGAAGACGAGCAGCACCTTTTACAGCTGTGGACTTAGAGGGTAAAAGCTGAATTTCAAAACTTACTACCTAGGCAGGGGCAGGTATATTGTTCTGAGCCTGTCTCATGAGTGCGTGTATGTGTATCTGTTTTAAGATAAATCAAATGAGTAATTTTGCTGGGGGTCATTGAAAACTGGGTTTTTAAGTATGGGAGAAACAAATATAGCTGTGAGATTAATGATGTTAAGCAAAAACTCTAGAGCTCTGAATCTGAATAAAGTATAATAGAAACTAATGGGTTTTTTTTATTTATTAAAACATTTTAAAATATAGGGGCGCCTGGGTGGCTCAGTCGTTAAGCATCTGCCTTCGCCTCAGGTCATGTTCTTAGGGTCCTGGGATGAAGTCCCACATCGGGCTCCCTGCTCAGCGGGAAGCCTGCTTCTCCCTCTCCCTCTGCCCTGCTTGTGTTCCTGCTCTTGCTATCTCTGTCTCTGTCAAATAAATAAATAAAATCTTTTAAAAAAATTAAAAAATAAAAACATTTTAAAATATATATATATTTCCTACAACTGAAATATCTGTAGGAAAAAATGATATATCTGAGATTCATTTCAAAATAATCTGAGATAGGAGGATGTGATGAGAGAACAGAGACAAAATAAAGTTGGTCAGGAATTAAAAATTGTTGAAGTTTATGGATATCTGAGTGCTTATTATACTATTATCTCTAATTTTGTATGTTTGACACTTCCCATAATAGAAAGTTTTTTTGAAGATATAGAACATCTTAATAGTCATAATCAAATGAAAAATAACTAAAAAGTTACCTAAAACACCAAATATATTTGGAAATAAAGCAATATACTTCTGAATAACTTATGAACCAAAAGAAAGAAAACCCAATGGAAATCTGAAAGTATTTTGAACTGAATAATAAAAACACATTTCAAGACATATGAAATGCAGATAAATTCACGCTTAGAGGAAAACTTGTGGAAAGGCTAAAAATCAGTAAGCTAAGCATCCACTGCAAAAATTACAAAAATAAGCAAATTAAGCTCCCTAAAAAATAGAAATTAATAAAGTAGAAAACAAAAATATAGCTAGAAGGATTAAAACACCAAAAGTTGGTTCTTTGAAGAGATTAATAAAACTGACAAATCCTTGATAACACTAAGAAGAAAAAAGAGAGAAAATATGAATATGAATGTGACACAGGAAGATCACTATAGATCCAGCAGGCATTAAAAAATAGCAAAGAGATATTATAAAAACTATGAAAATTTAGATGAAATGGACAAGTTCCTAGAAGAATACAACTACCAAAACCAACACAAGAAGAGACAAAAAATCTGAATAGTGCTAAACTATTTTAAAAATATAATGCATAGGTGGGTGGGGGGAAGGGATAATTGGGTGATGGCATTAAGGAGGGCACTTGATGTAATGAGCACTAGGTGTTATACGCAACTAATGAATTGCTAAATTCTACCTCTAAAACTAATTTAAAAAATAAAAATAAAAATACAATGCATAAATAAAAATCTTACCAAAGAAAACGCCAGACCCAGATTGCTCATCAGCAAATTACACCAAATGTCTAAGGAAGAATTAATGCATGTCTTACCACACTCTTCACTAAATCTTCAAACAACCCTATGGGATAGATACTAATTATATGAGAGAAGAAACAAGGGGGTGTTAATTTGTTGAACATCAGAGAGCTACAAAAAGGCAAAGAATCATGCTCTCTTTCAGCACTGATAGTTTCAAACACATGGCATCGTGTTTTAATTTAAATTATACTGTGAAATATTCCCTTAATCAGATTAAGTCAAGTATTAGACCTCTAGGTAAGATTATTCATTCTGTAGGTGTTTGTGAATACGTGTGTAATGGTCATGATACTTTTTCACCTCCCCTACCTCCCTTCCTCTTGGGAACTGCCCCTCCCTCAACCTATGAAATAATGATGGGATTGTTATCTTCCCTGCCACAGGGTGGGCTAATGTCCCAGGTAGCCAAAGTGCCTCATTCTCCTGGACCCAACAACTGGTCCAAGCTTGGCCTATTAGAGTCATTTAATGGACATTATTTGGGTGTTGAGAAAAAGGGTCATTTCTTCTGGTTCACTAGTTGAGAGCATGATGAAAGCCTGTAGTTGCCAGTAGCCATCTTTGCTATCAGGTAATGAGACCCAACAAAGAGGAAAATAGAATACTATCCAAAGCTTCTATCAATATTGATCCATAGTCTTCATCTGATTAAAGTGAGCACTAGGCTCAAAAGTCAGCAATTTTTCATGTGACCTGGTATCAAATGATGAACTAGGTCAACAGGGTTTTTTCTTTTTAAAAAAAGGTTAATTACAAAACCAAAAAAGATATTGAACAGTTAAAGTGAAGGACCGTTAGATAGCATTGAAGCCCTGTGGGGAAAGGGAATGACAGAATTATGAAGAAGAAAACAAGCAGACACAGGTAGATATCATGAAGATGTCCCATGAGAGCTGCATATTTCTATCACTGTTTAGATTCCTGGGTTTTCCAGTTCTGGGTGCACACAAGATGTGGATGGTTCATTTGAGACATATTTACTAAGTACTTGCAAATGTTTAATATACATGGTAGATTAGATTTATTATGGAAAAATATTCACTTCCTTTCTTGCCCTCTTCAAGGAAAGAGTATACTTCTCTGCCCTTTGATTTTAAGCTTGGCCAAGTATCTTACTTTGGCCAACAGGATGTTAGCAAGGGCTTAAAATGTGTTTTGGTGGTTGCCCTTGCTCTCTTATACCTCTGCCATCACCAGGAGAATATGTCGGCCAACTGGTCCAAGGATTAGAGCCAGTCTGCTGATGACAGCCTATGTCAGTCAATTCCCAGGTGGCCCACAGATGCACAAATAAAATAAATGCTCACTGGTGTATGCCATTTTAATGTTGTAGTTGCTTGTTACTCATTAACAGCTAACTGATACAATACACTGAGGACGTGATACTATGGGCCACTTAAAGCCTGTTCTTACTCTCAGGTTTTCCACAACACTTAACAATATCTGCTAAAAAACAAAACAAAACAAAACAAAAACTAGCCAGGCACTGTGCAACGTGCAGAGGATGGAGATCAATAAAATATCATCTTTTCCCAGGGAGAACTCCCATCCTAGTAAGTTAGACAGACTCTAATCAAATGATCAAAAAATATGATATGGGGTTCACTGGTAGAGTGAGCTGAGGGTCTAACTCAGCCCAGTCAGGAGAGGCTTCCTAGAAGACATTAAAATGTAGTTCTGAAAAATGAACATTCAACAAATAGGAAAGAAGATAAGACTCTACGCAGAGTACACACATGTACCAAAACATTAAATGTCAAAACATGTGGGGAGTACAAATAGCAGCCATAGCTAAAGCTTATCCTGGTTCTGATGTAGACAGCAACTCAGAACGAACATATGTGCTGGTCAACTGGCATTCTTACTATAGTAAGAATCACTGAAATCATCACAATGAGATTTTAAGAATCACTGAAACCAGGCGCCCGGGTGGCTCAGTTGGTTAGGCGACTGCCTTCAGCTTAGGTCATGATCCTGGAGTCCCAGGATCAAGTCCCATGTCAGGCTCCCTGCTCAGCAGGGGGTCTGCCTCTCTCTCTGACCCTCCCCCCCTCATGCTCTCTATCTCATTCTCTCTCTCAAATAAATAAATAAAATCTTAAAAAAAAAAAAAGAATCACTGAAACCATCACAGTAAGATTTGATTGATTAATTTAAGGCCTAATTGACTACATCGATAATTCAACTTTAACTGATGTTTATTTCACTGTAGAAAGTTCCTATGATAATGATCTATGAGGACCTGCATTTCTTACTCTACAATTTTGTATCATTAATAACAAAACCAGATCATCAATGCTTTGGAAAGACTTTCAAAGCATCCACAAGGAAATGACCACGGAGTTATGTCATGACACCATATGAAAAGGTGACTGGAGACAACTGCAAACAAAGTAACCCTCAAAATACTAAAGACAAATCTCGAATAAAGTAGCCGCTGCTGGAAAGTTCTTCTCGAAATACAAGTCAGAAAGGTAAAGTGTCCTCTTGAGTCAAGTTTTCAGAAGGAAACCTCAGCAGAGGCGTAACACTGGTGTGCAAAACAATAAACAGATTTTACTTCAAGAAGTTTGGTGGGGGAGAAGTTTGGAAAGAGGGTCGACGATGTCAAATCAGAAATTTGTCAAACTTGCATACAACTGAAGCAACAGTAACAGCAGCAACTCTTAAGTACTAGAAAATAACAGCCATTAAACAAACCAATACACCCGAACTAGTCCACCTCGGACACCAAGAATCTCGCTGATCACTTCAAACTACAAGATCAATATGAAAACTTGACATCCCACCGAAAGACAGAGGCAGCAGCTCTTGATACACCTTCCACACCCCGTTGTACCGACAGCACGTGCAACGTCAGAGTCCCAACACAGTCAACCACGCAGATCTCCAAGAAAGGGGCCAAACTTTGAACCAGACTCAGGCTGGCAGATAAGAAGCAGAAGAAATTCGGGCAAAGAAGTAAAACAGAAGCAGGAAAGAGAAGCAGCATAGGATGGGAGCGGCGGTCCCACCAATTGGATTGGTGAGCAAAGAGAAAAGTCCCCCGGATGCAGACAAATAGCCAAAAGAAGATCTACTTCCATCTGAGTTTCCTAGGAACTCAGCGTTGGCTGCCCCCTCCCCGCCCCACCCTAATTCCTCGCTTTCGGTGGGACCCTTAGTAGAAGCAAGGGGGCGCTTCGCAGGTGGCTCCTGGCAAAACTACGAGGGAACTCCCAGAGCTGCCAAGAGGAGAGTCGCGGCCGGTCGCTCGCCGCGTACCTGCGAAGGAAGTGACCAGATGCAAAGGTGAGGTGGGTGGGCTATCCCTTACCTGCCGCAGGAGCTTCCACCGGGCGGCTCCCAAGGGCTCCGAGACTTGAAGCCCCCGAGAGGCGCCGCCGTCTGCTGGGCCTTCGCCCACAGCTCGCTCAGCCTCGCCGGCCTGGGCGCCCGCGACTCGCGACTCCATCGCGTTAAAGCCGCCTATACCCCGAGTTGTCACCGCCAAAGCTCTCCCCTGCCAGGACCTGCCGACTTCTTCCCAGTCAGGACCTGTGAGCCGGACCACCCTCCAACAGCCCTAGCGCGCGCACCCTCCCCGAATTCCGCATTTCCGGTATTCGCGTCTCCTTGGCAACCAGGACAGCGCCGCTTGCGTCATTGCACCATTTTTTGCTGGTGGCCATCTTTAGTGAGGGCGGGCCGAAAAGTAAGGGAGTTATGGCAGAACTCGCGAGACACTGGCTCTTCTTTTCTCCTTGTCCCCTGCCTCTTCTCGAGCCCAGAAGACTAGAAAAGAACGAAAAGCCTTAAAACTTTCAGGGTTTTAAAAAAACCCAGGAGGAGAAGCCGTTCATGACCACAATAAACATGGCGAAATCTGCTTAGGGCTGGTGCTTGACTGGGGTTACGCAGACCTGCGTGCTGCAAACCAGCTCTGGGCGGCTCTGGATAGGTTGTCGTTCTGCGGATTGCAGAACGCAGACTTCGGCTGGACGCGACTGAGGAAACAGCAGTCCTCTTCCCGGAAAGCTTTTGGTTCTCGGACTTGCCCTCTCTCGTTTCGGTGTGCAGAGCCCGGCCGACTGTCCTTCAACTTGCGTACGTATGGAGGGGCATACTGTGTACAGGAGGGGTTCTCCCCGTTTTCCCCTCACCCAGTCATGCCTCAGTCCCCTGGTCCTCGCTTTTGCGTGGCGTCCCTTCTCCGCGTAGCACAAACTGCCGCCACCCCCTACTCCCAGCCTCCTTGCACTCACTTCGCCTCATCTCTGGGGTGGAGAGTTGCACCGAGAAAACGAGCGAGTCCCCCCGGGAACACCCATTCGTTTCCCCCACCCCCACCCCTAGCCTTGCATACTGTCTTCTCCCTGCGGATGAAAATGGATGGGCTGAGGCTGCCGGCATGCATATAATGATTTAGGTCTTTACGGGCCCCTGTTACAGGGCCTTGGCGGGCGGGGGTTGGGGGTGGTTCGTGATGGCTGCCGATCTCTTAACCCCACTCGCCCGTTATTTTGCTGCGACACAGAAAGAGGTCCGGGGGTGGAGGTGGCGGAGGCGTCGTAGTGGATCAGATCTCTAGTAAATCTGACGCAATATTGTACTTTTGATACCGAGGGGCGTTTTGTGGAAGACGTCCATGCTGACATGCAACGGTGTGCAAGACACTTTGATTTCTCGTATAATAATAGTAGCCAGCATTTATTGAGTGCACACTACGTGCCAGGCACTGTATTAAGATCTTTCCATAAATTGTCTAATTTTATTCTTACAACAACTCCATAAGGTAAATGTGTCATTATCTCGGTTTTGCAGCTGAAGAAACTGAGGCACAGGTGGTGAGTGCCGGAGTGACGACCTGAACCCAGGTGTCTCTCTTAAGTACTTATTAGCCTTACTTTGATGGGTTAATAAGGACCATCTGTTCGACAGAAACCAGAGGTGGCCTCACATTATATTTGTTCATCCTGAAGTGATGTGTTTTAACTAAAGAGCTAAATATCTTTTCCACGTTAAGTCCAGTTGTTGTTACGTCCAAGATTTGGAGCCAAACCAGATTGGACATTCTGTTCTGCTACTTTCTGTCCAAGTGACCTAGGGCACTTGTCAAAACCTCCCAGAGCCACAACTTGCTCACCTGTAAAATAAATGTTATAATGGCTACTCTATCAGGTCCTTATGAAGTTTAAATTAGACAAAGTATATAAAAGTGTCTGGCACGAAGCAAACACTCAACACTCCTCTACCTTTATTAAATAAGTAGGCTTTTCCAGTTTATCCTTCATATACCTCCCAAAGATATGTCCTGAATTTCGTAAGGTCAAAGCCATTTTGCCTTTTAACGCCGTCAAGAGTTCTGGAGATGCCCTCATTAAGTCTTTATTTGTTTGCAAATTTTTATTTTTGTTTTTTGTTTTGTTATTTTTTAGTTTGCCCCATGTGTACCAGAATCAGTGCTGCATAGTCTGAGCCTGATAGGATTGACTTTACAAATGAGACATTTAAGTCACGTCTGCTGAGAAGTATGATTTGAATGAAACTTTAACTTATACAAGTTTTCAGGTATTTTTAACCTGAGTTATCAGCTGTCTGCAGTTATTCATAACCTGAAGGGGAGGGATAAGAACTGCGGATCTTAGATACTCTGAGAACCCACTACTGTGTAATCCTACCTATGAAATCATGTGCTGACAGCCCCAAAGGGAGCGTAAACCAGGGACTCTGATATCATGCAGCAGAAGAGCAAATTATTTCTCCAGGCTTTGAAGTATAGTATTCCTCACCTTGGGAAATGCATGCAGAAACAGCACTTGAATCACTGTAACTTCGCTGATCATTATTACAATAGAATAAAATTGAAAAAATATCACCTAACCAAGTGTCTGCAGAATAAACCCACGATATCAGAGTTAGCAAGAAACATCCCAAGTCGGAGCTTCTCAAGTAAGGTATGGACTTTTTAAGTTAACCTATTTGTAGGTCATTAAGATTAATTTTACTTTAAAGATAAAGAATGGGTAAGAGATCAGTTACTAATTTTCTCAGTAATTCTAGTTTGATTTTTAAAGTGTTAAGGCTCAATTGTAGCTCAATTTAAGTATAAAAGAATATATGCATATATATTTATACACTTGTAATATATAAAGATATATATTTATGAAAAATGATTCACCTTAGGAAATCCTTATGCCTACCAGTACATTTCAAAGTATAATTCAGCTTTCTAAACTTCCTAGAATACCATAATAGCTTTTAACAAAATCTAATAATACGCTAATTGTTTTATGAATCTCAAATTAGAAAACTTGAGTAATTCCATGTAATTGTGTGTTGATTCTTTGTTAAAAAAAAAAAAAATGAAAAAAGGCTTTGCATTTTGACCACTTGGGTCCTTCAGGAAGATGCTTTCAGACTGTTGTACTTTGGCCAGACCCCAAGCTATGGGCCTGACCTCAACCTTGAGGACCTGATTGCCGTTATATGTAGAGTCACCCCACATTCTATTTGCGTGGGACAGTCCCAGTCTACACCTGTTGTTCCTGTGTAATTATTAATAGTGTCCCCTTTCCTCTCAAAAATGTCCTCATTAGGATGGTAAATTATATGGTCATCCTACTTATTTGAGATTAAGCTATCTATCTATGCTGCTACCACTTTGACATACCTCCCTACCATATAATTGTTATGATCCTTAGGCTCCTTAAATTGCATGTGGGGGTGATACTTTTGCAATAATTTGCCATTTTGTTTTAATATTTTAAGTTTCTGGTTTAAATTGTTTTGTTGCATACTGATTTTTTTTTTTAGTTTTTTTATTGTGGTAAAACGTGTATAACATAAAATTAGCCATTTTAACCACTTTTAAGGATATAAATCCGTGGCATTAATTACATTGACAGTGTTGTACAGTCATCACCACTATTTTTAAAACCCTATCATCACCCAAAGAAATGTATCCATCAAACAATAACTCCCCACTGCCTCCTTTTCCAGGCCCCTGGTAACCTTTAATCTACTTTATGTCTATGAATTTGCTTATTCTAGATTAATTCATGTAATTGTAATCATATGGTATTTATCCTTCTGTGTTTGGCTTATTTCATTTAACATGTTTTCAAAGTTCATCCATGTTGTAGAATACATCAGAACTTCATTCTCTTTATGGCTGAATAATATTCCATTGTATGTATATATACCATATCCATTTATCTGTCAAAGGATACTTTTTTTCATCTTATTTTACTGGATTATTTATTTAATGTTTGCTCTTAGCTCATGCTTGTGGGTTCTTATGTGGGGGTTTTTTTGTTGGTTTTTTTGCCTGTTTTTTGTTTTCCCTTTTAACTTTTTATCTGTGGTTCCTAGACTTCTTTTACTCTCTACATCTTAGTCTGTCAAATTATTTTTCTTTTTATAGTATCGTGGCTTAGTTTAACACTTCGATGCTTTCTTTATTCAGAAATTCTTTGCCTTTTATTTCATTATCTTTTGTGTGTGTGTGCGCAGCTTTATTCTACTTAAGAAACATAAACTTCAAGTTTTACCTATTGGAAAGATTTGGGGTCTTTAGGTCATTTTATTTTGCACTTTGGAACATTTTGTCATCTAGTACATTTATATTGAGTCTTAGTTTATAAATAGTAGGCAGGAATTATGGGCAGAGTGACAGCTGAGATTAGCTCAGACCCTGAACAGGAGGTTGACTATTTTTTCCCTCCATTTGTCCCTGAAGCAACTTTTCAGTTCTCTTTCATAGATTCCTGTCACCTAGAAACTTTAACCTGAATTAGTAGCTCTTTTGGTAATTCTTCCACCTGAAAAACCAGTCCTGCTTTCACATGTGGTACATCAACCATTTCTTCTGTAAGAAATGATATATGAAAGCTGTGCTGTCTATCTTTTATGATCACTGGGACCCGGGGAAGCTGTGAAGAGACCTATAGACAACGCACATTTTCTTTCAGCAAGCATCCACTCAGTTCCAACTTTGTTCACTCATGCAGATACAATAAAGTAAAAAAAAAAGTAGTTGGTGCCTATAGGCAAATTCAAATATATCTTCCATGATAATGGAGAGAGGTAGAAGATTTGAGGGAAGATTGAAGAGATAGAATCAATCAAACTTCATCATTATAGGGTGATTACATTTTATTGGGGACATCTTAGTGTAGAGAATATAGGATGATAGTCCCTCTTCTGTTTGGATTCTAAAATTCAAAAGCCTCTTAGAAAAGTTGTTTTTAACTCAACCCCATCCCCCACAAACTGACACAAAGCTATTATGGTCTTTATCCCACTTAATAGATGTTTTGCTCCAAAATCTTCCTGTGTTTTCATTACAGGGTAGTGTTCCCCACCCCCCCTCCCCCATTACCCAGATAGGCACCATGTTAACTTTACAAAATCATTAAATACCAAAGCACATTTACATCATCATTATGTTTCAGTTGGACTTATGTCACAGTCACAAGTATACCCTATTGTTACTTAGATCTTAAAGAGTGAGGAAGGAAAAGCATGAGTGGCTCAGTTGGTTAAATGTCCAACTCTTGGGGCACCTGGGTGGCTCAGCCGTTTAGCATCTGCCTTCGGCTCAGGTCATGATCCCAGGGTCCT